CTTCCTTGTCTGCCGGTTGTGGGACCCGGGGCATGAAAGCCACTGGTCTGCTCCTCGGTCAAACCCATAGGAGGCCCAGCCCAGCCCACTCTCAAGTTCACTGGGATCAAACCCATTCAGTTCACAAACTCTGCCTGATTGCCTCCTTTGTCGTGGGGAGCAAAGGTTTGGGGACACAGCGGTGAACTCAGCACTGCAGTGGCCCAGACCAGTGACAGCAGTGGCCCAGATCAGTGACCACCTGAGAGCAGAGAAAACGGCCAACAGGGTCGGATTCTGACCTTGATTAGTTGACAGATGGATTCAGGGATTGGGGGTGGGGTGGGGGGAGCTCTGGAAGTTCCTGGGAAAGCTGCAGCAAGAAATAGAGCAGGCTGGCAACATATGTACAAAGATGCTTGATACACTTGCTGTACGGGTGATGATAAGAGCTGTAAGAGCCCCCAAGAAAATGACCTTTAAAAGAAAGTGAGCTGCCAGGCTTGCAGACAGGATGGCTAGACGGTGAGGTGTGCAAGAGTGGAGCCAAGGCTCTCTCGACTGTCTTTGATCCGAGCAGTGGGCAGGAGGGAGTCACCCCTAACCAGGGGGAGCAGAGAGAGGGGGTTGCAGCTCAGGGAGGCAGAGCTCAGGAGCTTGGTTGGGGACGAGTTTTGTATGAGAAGCCCAGCACACGAGGAGCTGATACTGTGTCATCAAAAGGCAGGACGGGGATGGGGGTGCTCCTCTCAGGAGCACCCCAGAACCTCCCACGTTGTTAAACTGCGTGTTCCCTTCTCGCTCACCCCTTAGCCCTCCCTGAAAACACTTCCTCCCTCGGCTGGCTGTCCGGATCTTTCTGCCCTGTGCTGGTCCCTTCCCATGTCCTCATCCCATGCCACGCCCCTGGGCTCTGACCCCTGGGCAGTGCCCCTGGAGGATCTCCTCAGATCTCCTGGCGGCTCCGTAACAAGGGAGACATCAGGACTCCTCCCTCCACTCCCTTCGTGCACCAGAGTTGCAAGGCCCAAGGTTCCTTCCCGAGAATCGCCCTCTCTTCCCCCCCACCCTGCACTTTTCCCTGGGCTCTGCGAGCGTGCCCTTGTCCAAGAAGTGCCCGTCAGCAGGCCCACCTGCTGCACATGCCCCTCCGCCAGCCCACTCATCTCGCCTGTAAGGTGAGCACGCGCGCACACACACACACATGTGCACACAGGCACCCTTGGGCCCAGGCTGTGGCCTCACTCAGAGGGTCTCCCCCCTGGCCCCTCTCTGAGCCCACCGACCAGCTGACCCGCCCCTCCCTCACAGGCTGATGACAAACTACGTGACCTTTGTGGTGGGGGAGCTCCTGCTCCTGGTCCTGACCATCTGCTCCATGGCTGCCATCTTTCCCCGGGTAAGCCGCACCTTCTGTTCCAGCGCAAAGGCCCCTGGGAAGTGGATGTTCCCTCCTGGGAAACTGAGTCTGGCCGGGAGCCGTGCCTCCACCATCTTGGCCTGCAGACCATGCTCCCTTGGGCAGGCAGACATTTCCCACTCGACGCCACAGGGGACACCCCTGTGCAGTGGGCTGTGTGCTGGGAGGGTGAGCCTGGGTCTAGACACAGGGGGGCCCGGGCAGAAGAGCAAAAGGCCCCTCTGGAAAGTGGGTTGGCCCTAATCATCAAGGACCTTGGAAATCACACTGGGCCCCAGGTGGGCCTTAGAGCTTGATGGGGCCGTGGGACGAGGCTGTATTTTCGGAGAATTGGCCTGGTGGGTGGCTTGGAGGACTGAGGTACAGTGACCAGGTAGGGCACGGGGAGCTAGGCAGAGATGGCAGCTGGCTAGTGCGGCTGGCACTGGAAACTGTCCCCCGAGCCAGCCTTGTATCTCAGACAGGAGAGTGGGCCACTGCTGCCCACAGCCTCCTGGGGTGGTCCCTGTGCCTGCACTGGGCAGGACCGGGGCCACAGTATTGCCCGAGCCCCCCAAGGAGCAGTGAGGCACAGGGCCAGCACTTTACTGTCCTCTCAGCTCCCTGCTCCTCGCCCACCAGGGCCTGCCTTTCTGGCTCCTGGAGCTGGGGCTTGGAGCCGTAGCAGTCTGGTCTACCGGGGGAGGCTGACGAAGCCTCCTGGCCCCTGAATTCCCATTCCTCCCAGGCCTTTCCTAAGAAGCTCGTGTCCTTCTCCACCTGGATCGACCGGACCCGTTGGGCCAGGAACACCTGGGCCATGTTGGCCATCTTCATCCTGGTCATGGCCAACGTGGTGGACATGGTGAGTCCCTGCCCTGTTCCAGGGACACCCTGCGCTCAGGGGAGAGGGGCTTCCCCAGCAGCCACCACGAGCAGCCTGCCCCCATTGCTACGCCACTGGACTAGGGCCGGAGGGGCACTTAGGTTCAAGAAGGGTCCTCTGGAGGGGTCCTCTCCCTGTCAGCCAGGAGCACCCCGAGACGGACTTGTTTCCCCACAAGAGAGTCTGGCCTCTCTTCCAAGTAGAAGAGCCCACACCCATGTGCCTGGCTCGGGCTAGACCCTGCTCATTTCGTTGTTATAACACGCCGAAGGGTACCGACCTGCCTGCTAACCCCTGACAGCTGGGGATCAGCAAGGTGAGCGCACCTGTCCGGGGTCGGTCAGTGTAGCAGGGCTCAATCCCCACCCTGTTTTCTTCCTCCTTAAGCAGCACGATGCAGTGGGGAAGAATGGCCTGGCCTTTAGCCTAACGAGGTGGCCCCTCATTCTGGCTTTGCTCTTGGGCGCCTTCGAGTTGATCTTCAACTCCTAGGGACGCCACGTGACCAAGTAGAAGTGGCCCATAGAGTGCCCCAGGCTGTAATCTGTACAGGGGTGATCACTGAAGTCTGTGCCATGAGACGTCATGTGGGTCTGAACCATCAACCTGTCAGTAAGCCAAGAGCTTGACCATCAGAGCTCCTAATTCTGGCTTTGCCACCTGCTGATTGTGCTGCTTGGGGCCAGCCCTGCATCTCTGCCCATCAAATTCTGGTGGGCATCCAGTGAGAGGATGGGGAATCACCTCCAATCAAGGAAACTCACTGCCACCGAGTCAGGACTGATGCACAGCGACCTTACAGCACAGGGTAGACCTGCTCCCGTGCGTTTCCCAGACTGTCCGTCTTTCACCCACAGAGCTGCCAGGGGTTTTGAACCAGTGGCCTGAGAGATTGCTGCTCAGCTCATCACACCACCAGGGCTCCTGGTGGTGCTCCTCCTGGGAACCAATTCCTACCTTTTGCCCAGTCTTCCCTCCCGCCTCTTCTGTGAGGGGCCTGGGAGAAGACAGGGCGTGGCGGTGGGGGCGTACCCCTGCTGTGACGTGACCTCTTTGAGCAGCATGCGCTGTCTCCCCGCTCCCCATTCCCCTCCAGCTGAGCTGTCTCCAGTACTACGTGGGGCCCAGCAACAGGACGGCAGGGATGGAGGAGGCGCTGTACGGCTGCATGGAGAACCCCAAGTATTACAACTACGTGGCTGTGTTGTCCCTCATCGCCACCATCATGCTGGTGCAGGTCAGCCACATGGTGAAGCTCACCCTCATGCTGCTGGTCACAGGCGCGGTGGCCGCCATCAACCTCTATGCCTGGTGCCCCATCTTTGACGAGTATGACCACCGGCGCTTTCAGGAGCACGAGTAAGATGGGGCCGGGTGGGGGTCTACCGGGTTCCTTTCCCCACCCCCGAGGCCCCATCTCAAGGTCCCAGGCTACTCGGAGGGGCGTCTTTGCCGAGAGGGCTCGGGGAAGGCTTGTCTGGGACACAGGGTGATGGCTTCTCACACACATGCCCCTGAGTGGCCTTGACCTTGCGGTCCGTCAAAGAGGGATGGGGCACCCTGCGTGTCTGGCTGGGCCCCAGCGTGCTGTCCTCTCCCCCAGATTCCCCATCGTCACCTTGGAGAAGATGCAGGTGCTGCCCACGCCCGTGCTCAATGGGACCGACTGGTGAGTGCTGGGCCCGCTGCCTCCCTGTCTGCACCGCATAGAGCAGGCCGAGATCCAGCAAGCTGACCCTCCTGCTCTTGCCAGCAGTGCTCTGTGGGACCAGCTCCCTGAGCCTGTCTCCTCTGTGGAGGGAGATGGTTAGACTAGAAATTCCTTTAACATCCCTTCTGGCTCCAAGGTTTTAGACTCTGACGGTTCAGTAGTTTCGCTAGAGCCTCCAGTCAAGGCGCCCTCGTGGCTTCGTGGGTTACATGTTCACACCTCCCGGCTGCTCCACAGGAGAAAGAAGAGGCTCTCTCTTCCTGTGCAGATTTACAGCCTCATGTCAGAAACCCACAGGGGCAGTGCTGCCCTGTCCCATCGGGGCGCTAACCATTGGAATCGGCTCGAGGGCAGGAAGCGTGGTTTCAGAGTCTGCGTTGTAAAGACAGGACGTGGACAGATACTCGAGCAAACCGTTCACAAAAGAACCTCCATACGTGGCTGGCAGGGAAGGAAAAGGCATGCGTGCTGGCCGTGAGACCACGTGACACACTTGTCCGCCTGCCACTATCAGGTGTGGTAGCAATTCAGACCTTCCTTGTGGAGGTATAAATCAGGAGTCGCTTGTGGTGTTAGTAAGGAAAGTTGAAAATAGTCATTCTGTAATGTCGTCATTCCATTCCTGAATACGTACTGTAGAGAAATCCGTATGCACGTATCTATCCCATGGCATATGTACAAGAACGTTCCCAGGAACATTGTACACAGCGTGTACACACACACACACACACACACACACACACACACACACACATGTGCACACAGGCACCCTTGGGCCCAGGCTGTGGCCTCACTCAGAGGGTCTTCCCCCCTGGCCCCTCTCTGAGCCCACCGACCAGCTGACCTGCCCCTCCCTCACAGGCTGATGACAAACTACGTGACCTTTGTGGTGGGGGAGCTCCTGCTCCTGGTCCTGACCATCTGCTCCATGGCTGCCATCTTTCCCCGGGTAAGCCGCACCTTCTGTTCCAGCGCAAAGGCCCCTGGGAAGTGGATGTTCCCTCCTGGGAAACTGAGTCTGGCCGGGAGCCGTGCCTCCACCATCTTGGCCTGCAGACCATGCTCCCTTGGGCAGGCAGACATTTCCCACTCGACGCCACAGGGGACACCCCTGTGCAGTGGGCTGTGTGCTGGGAGGGTGAGCCTGGGTCTAGACACAGGGGGGCCCGGGCAGAAGAGCAAAAGGCCCCTCTGGAAAGTGGGTTGGCCCTAATCATCAAGGACCTTGGAAATCACACTGGGCCCCAGGTGGGCCTTAGAGCTTGATGGGGCCGTGGGACGAGGCTGTATTTTCGGAGAATTGGCCTGGTGGGTGGCTTGGAGGACTGAGGTACAGTGACCAGG